TCCACAATATCATGTGATTCTCACACCGAATCTATCTAGTACCGAATCTATCCGGTAGTGTAAGTTTTGTCTCATACTCAATTAGGAAAGAGGACAATGAAGAAAAAGACAATAGAAAGCCAAAACACAGAAAAAGACAGATACACCTGTACTCCAAAACGCCCTGCTGGCTGACAACTTTAAGTGACCTCGTCGACATCTTCCTATCACCGGAAAAAAAAAAAAAAAAAAAACCACCAATCCTACTACATTAGTGGACGAAGCTGAAGTGACTAGAATCTTTGTAGCCAGTTCTAAGGGATAATCGGTAGAAAGCGCCCACGTCAAAACCTTTTCGGGTTTTGGGCACCCAAAACTTGGCCGCTTGGTACTACCGGCCCCATGAATTCTATGTGGGGTACTACAGGCCCACACGTCGCTCCAAGGGCCCCCTACCAGATCATCAATCTGGCGTATAAAAGGGCCAGATTCATTTTGATGTAAAAGAGGCCGAGGGTGGTACCACTGAAGTATAGAATGAGACCCATGTACGGTAATTTGAAAAAGAAGGGCCCTACCGGTTCACGAATCTGGCTCGAGCCAAATTCTTGAACCTATAAAAACAGGCCCAGCGAGATGTGGCCGCGGAGCGAAGGCGCCTTTCACCCAGGCTGAAGACGCTTGGGCCGGTAGTACCAAACGGTCCAGTTTCGGGCGCCCAAAACCGACAAGGTTTTGGGATGGGCTCTTTCTACCAATTATCCCCAGTTCGAAATTATCTCCGGGTTTTTCACCCAGGCTGAAGACGCTTGGGTCGGTAGTACCAAACGGTCCAGTTTCGGGCGCCCAAAACCGACAAGGTTTTGGCATGGGCTGTTTCTACCAATTATCCCCAGTTCGAAATTATCTCCAGTTCTAACCCGATGCATGGCATAGGACGACTAGTTGGCGTTTGCCTCCAGAAAACTCCCTGCTCTTCTTGGCTTCAACTCAGCCTTCTTCATCCGCTGGAAGTACTAAGCATTGCCCTGCAGGGGACCCCCCGCCCCTCACACCTACCCCTCCCGGCCCTTGCCCAACAGACTACCCCTAGGCCAGCCTGCTCCGCTCCTCGTCCCCTTAGTGGTCTGCATATGATCAGCTTATCACTGAAGGCGACAACTGGAAGTCATCACCGGACAACACTAGGGGAACGACCCAAGGACAGGGGTTCAGAGAGGGCCAAGACGGGAGCCTGTTCAGAACAGGGATGCAGTCAGACATAGCAGAGCCCACCCACACATTGGTGGCATGCAAGGACACAGTAGCACGCCAGGATGGTGGGTACAGATAGGGGCAAGGTTGGAGTCTGGGTATATCAAGGGATGTATTCCGGCATACTACAGCATACAAGGGCAAGGTAGCATGCTAGGATAGTGTGCATACATAGGGGCACGGTTAGAGTCTGGCTATAGCAGGGGATGTAATCAGGCACACTGCAGCCCCCGGCCCACAAATAGGTTACACACCGTGGTGAGATGGGCTCTCTTTTTTTTTTTTTTTTTTTTTCTCTCAACAGATGAAGAGGATAGAGGGACGGATGTTCTACCCACTGGCAGAAGAGATAGGGTAATCCCTGCTCTGCAAAAGGGGAGAGGGGCGTGGATGGAAGGGTAATCAGTAACCAGTGGCCGAAGGGGAGGGCAGAACAGAGAAGCACACCTACTCCGAATGTGGACGTGCACAGGAGACTGATTGACTTGACTCTGGCCTTTGCCACGGCCTCTCATTCCATTGGGCTGGCCAGATGGCTCATTCGCAAGAAGTGACACAGTGGAAATGCTGCTGGCGCTTGTGCTCTATCTGCGAAGGGCTAGCACTATAGCCCACAGTGGGGGAGCGCGCTGTGCTGAGGAAGGGGGACGGCCATAGCCGAATAGCTAGTAGTAGGACGTAGAGCTGAGTAGTAGCGGATGTATTCAGAGTCAAGATCCTCAAGTAGAGAGAGAGACAGAGGGAGAGAGTGAGCGCATGCATGAAGTACAAAGAGGGCCAGGGAGAGAGGAGTGCGACAGGGGGACGGAGAGAGTGAGGGAGTCACCTACCCTGGATCAGGATGCCGGACTCCACGCTGATGAGCGCTGGTGACTGGAACTATGATAATTTGTTGGAATCTCTAAGCTGCGCTTACCTGGACTTCGCATCTCTGGTCTCCCGTGTGGTAATGCATATATATATATATATATATATATATATATATATTTGTGATGGGGTGTAAACCTACAGTCTGTAGAGTTTTCCTTCTGGTGTGGGTGAGTGATAGTCTGCTTTGATTTTCGTCACAGGTACCTTGAGGGCAGTGGTTGGTGCCCACCTCAGGGTATCAGTTGTGGGGCAGTCGTTGATGCTAACCGCAGCCGGGGTTACGGTGGATTCTCTCTTACAGTGTACTCAGTTAGGGGTTTCTGCTGACTGTTTTTGAGGGTTCAGCCTCCTGATGATTCGGTGAAACTCCGACGAAACAGTTTGTCACACCTCGTCTGTTGTCTTCTTCTCAATCTCTGCCGACGGCTTACCGGGAAGTTCTTTTTTTCTTTTTTTTTTTCTTTTTTTTTGTAACGGGGCAGTTCTATTTGGTGATATATATGGAAACGCAGCTATTACAGACAATTGAGAGTCAGGTCTCATATAAGGATAAGAGGGAAGTACGTTCATGTCACATCAGAGTTAAACTTTGCAATTGGCAAAAGAAACATGCCCCAGCGACTTTGTCATGGCCTAAGTTCAAAAAGCGGTTGTAACTCAGGCCMGCAGTGGGGTCAGGGTGAAAGTTGCTTTTAGGCACTTGTGTGTCCGCTCCCAGGTACCGGGTCGTCCCACATTCTTTTTCCACGGTACTGGTCATTTCCTGAGTACCGGCCTTCTCTGCCGCGCCCGTTCCCGTTTGTGTTCCCATCGTTCCATCGTGGCTGCCGGCTTGAATGACCTCCCACTGGATTACTGCCTCCGATCCCACCACGTGTCACCCAACACACACACACACACACACACACACACACACACACACTGTGGCATACTGCATAGCCACACGGGCCCTGCAGGGCCCGTCCCGAACATTCAGCCTAAAAGCCTAAAACTTAGGGCTTACAGGGCCCGGTCGTTTCAGCCTGAAAGCTGAAAAACGAGGGCCTGCAGGCCCTACTCCGTTTCAGCCTATTTCTGGGTCCCAGAGTTTTTCCAGCCTGAAACGGAGGGCCATTTTCAGGCCCTCATTTGCTTCGACCTGCCCTAAGACTCAGGCACGAAAACTGGGTTTCGGAACAGGCTATTTCTGGCCTGTTCCCACGCCAGCTCGAGCAGGAGCTGCAGCTGCAGCCCCTGCCTCCTTTCGGCATTGGCAAGAGCAGCCTCCTGAACTGCTCGCACGGCTCAGGAGGCACACCCGTGGTAGTACATAGGCCTTCCCAGGCACTTCACGGGTAGGTAGTTGGACATTCGGCAGGAGTAGTCTTCAGGATTCGGCCGCAGCACTCAGGAGGAGCGCTGCAGTAGTCTTCAGCGCTAGGTAGTATTAGCGCTAGCTGTAGTCTTCGGCGCTGGGCGCCCATAGCTAGAGTAGTCTTCAGCGCTGGGCGCTGTAGGTGGTAGATAGTAGAGGTGGGAGAGATACTGGCGGAGGCCAGTGATACTTACCTGTGGCGCCATCGCTCCAGCTCCATCTTCGTGGTACCTGCATCAAGGCGCCAACTTCACAGGTTAGTACTGGATACAGAGAGAGAGAGTTCTTCTTCTTCTTCCTCTAAGTCCACCATCTCTTCTCACCCTCTCACCACCTGACTTCTCAGACTACAACAGAGAGAGACAGAGTTGTGACATGAGACTTGACGACATTGGATCCAGACTCGACATTGGGATTCAGACTTTTGGACGAGGGACTATTTGGGCCTGTGCTGAACACTTGGTGTTGCCGACATTCCCATCTTCCCTTCTTCTTCGTCTGACCCCACCTCCTTCGTCTGTGTATGTTCGGGGCTGGCGCAGTCTTCTTGTGTGAAGCGCCAGACCCTTTCACACCATGATGATGATGATGTATGTTCGGGGCTGCATTGCACTATTGATTGTTCGGATCATGGGTATCTAAGTCTTCCATTGTGCTATCTTATACTTTGTATTGAAAGGTCGGTTCTTGTTCTGGTCTGCACCTATACGGTATGCAACAGTTTGGTATCGGAGCGGACCTCTCATTCAGAGGACCCGCTCAATCAAGTAGCCAGCTTGCGATCTATTGATCACTCATTAGTAACGCAAGTAGGACTTAGTCAAATCTCAGAAATTTTTTTTTTTGTCGCAACAACTATCTGAAATTTCTGATATTCGCATTTCGTTTTACCTGAAAATTTCTGATATTAGTAGTTCGTTTTTACGTGACAAATATCTGAAAATTTCTGATAAATCGCATTTAGTTTTGTCTGAAAATTTTCGATAGTAGCTTTTCGTTTCTCTAATATTTCGCATACATAGCTGAAATTTCTGAAGTTAGTATTTCGTTCTCTAGGCATATTAGGATAACTATAGAGGGTCATATTCTCGGAAACTGGAATTATTCTTTTCTGAAAATCGAATTTCCATTCTATCTCGCAATTTTTATTTTGTTTTGAAAACCGAAATCTTGCGAAGCCTACCAATATTGCGTTAGGCATATTCGGAGGTTGCTATATTCTCAGAAACTGGATTCGTTCTTGTCTGAAAATCGCATCTTTACTCCATTTCGCAATTTTTTTTTTTCAAGATCGCAGTTTGTAAAAGCCGAAACTTTGTGGAACCTAGCCCAGATCTCGGTCATAGTACTCTTCTGACATGTCTCACTCATAATAGATCGACAGATATACAAAAAAAAAAAAAAAAAAAGGAAGTAGTCCTCTTTTATTTTTTTTATTTTTTTTTATCTGTTGATTAGGGCCGGAGGAAGTATTGTTGGGTTGGTTTCCTACCTGCGTGTTCCCTCCCACCGACCCTTTGCATGCATTTTCGGGTTGGTACAGTGCCACGTCAGCTACAGTGACACGTGAGCAGTGCCATGTCAGCAGTGCCACGTCAGACACAGTGCCATGTAAGCAGTGCCACGTCAGCAGTGCCACGTCAGCAGTGCCACATCAGCAGTGCCACATCAGCAGTGCCACGTCAGCAGTGCCACGTCAGCAGTGCCACGTCAGCAGTGCCACGTCAGCAGTGCCACGTCAGACACAGTGCCACATAAGCAGTGCCACGTCAGCAGTGCCATGTCAGACACAGTGCCATGTCAGCAGTGCCACGTCAGCAGTGCCACGTCAGACAGTGCCACGTAAGCAGTGCCACGTCAGCAACATGACGGGCTTGCCAGGCCAACTGCCCAACCAGTCCCTTGCAGCCTACAAGCAGCGGTTCCAGGCTCAGATCGAGGCTGAGGAACAACGCCAGCTGGCAGCCGAGGCTGCCCGCGTACAGGCTGAAGAGGCAGCAGCGGCAGAGCAACTGCGGCTACAGGCCGATGCAGACGCAGATGCCCAGGCTCGCCGCAAGGAAGCCGAGGATCTGCTGCAGCGGCATGAAGCCAGCAGCATCGACAGACTCGAGTTCTGGCACTTTGAACCGAACGGCGACGATCCAACACCAGAAGAGAAGCATAAGGAGTTTCTCTCCAAACTCGTGACACGGTTGTTGTACACTTGCAACTACCAACGGTCTGAGTTGGAGAAGCAGTACCAAGACCTGACGCAAGCTTCGCCGGAATCTATCCCCAGGGACTCGACGTCATGGTCAAGACTTGAAGAGCTCGATCTGTTGACGTTCACGGACTTCCAGTGGATGCCCGTTCCCTCGACCGGACGATTGCCGAAACCTCATTGCAACGTGCTTATGGCACAATTGCGGGATTACTTGCACGCTGTAGTACCCACTCCGTTGATGGACGTCGAAGTAGAGGTTGTCGACCTTTACGCCCACACTGCGAAGATCGACCGCGAGTTCAAGACGCAACGGTACGACGACATCGACGCACCATTGCTATACGTACGCATTCAGAACGGAGAGGCGACCTGCAGCGCCTTGATCGATTGTGGAGCCACTCGCAACTACATCAGCCAGGACTTCATGGTGCGCGCCGGCCTTGTCCCACGTGTCCGAAGGAAGTCCCAGCCTACGCAAGTCACGTTGGCAGACGATCACACGCACAAGTCAATCGACCGATGCATCGACGACGTCCCAGTGTACTTTGCCCCTCACGCAAGTGAGGCGGTGTCCTTCGACATTCTGGACACCAAATTCGACATGATCTTGGGCATGTCATGGCTGCGAAGCAAGGATCACCCGGTGAACTTCTTCAACCGCACCGTTCACGTTCGTGATCGGAACGGAGTATTAGTTCCATGCACGGTCCCTCTTCCTCATCTTTCAATCAGCTGCCACGCGGTATCCGCCGCAAACATGCGAGTTTCTATCATTAGAGACGACATCGAGGAGATGGGGGTGTGTTTTCTCCACGCCCTCCCGCCCCGAGACGCTTCATCGACGGACTCATCTTCGGATCCACGCATCACCGAACTTCTCGACGCCTACAGGGACGTGTTCGAAGGCTCGCACGGAGTAGTACCGGATCGACCCATCCGCCACGAGATCATCCTCGAGGACGGGGCCGTACCTCCGCGCGGTTGCATCTACCGCATGAGCGAAGAAGAGTTAAGTGTGCTCTGTGCACAACTCGACGACCTTCTAGAGAAAGGCTGGATTCGGCCTACTTCATCGCCATACGGTGCTCCTGTTCTCTTCGTCCGGAAGAAGAACAAGGACCTCCGGTTGTGCATCGGTTATCGCAAGCTCAACGCGTAGACAGTCAGGAACGCCGACCCTCTCCCACGCATCGACGATCTTCTCGAGCGACTGGGCGGCGCCAAGTTCTTCTCCAAGCTGGATCTCAAGTCAGGGTACCACCAACTCGAGATTCGCAAGAAAGATCGCTACAAGACCGCGTTCAAGACACGGTATGGGCATTTCGAATGGCTGGTCATGCCATTTGGCCTTACGAATACCCCAGCCACTTTCCAAGCGGCTATGACAATGGAGTTCCGACACATGCTGGATCGATACGTGCTTATCTACCTCGACGACATCCTGGTGTACAGCCGGAGCTTGGAGGAGCATGTGGAACACCTGCACACCGTTTTGGAGCGGCTACGTCAAGCCAAGTACAAAGCCAACCGCGACAAGTGCGAATTCGCGCGGCAGGAGCTGGAGTACTTGGGACACTATGTGACGCCGCAAGGCATCCGTCTGCTTGCGGACAAGATCGAGGCCCTACGAGTACGGCCCGAGCCCACAAACACCACAGACGTTCGTTCATTCATGGGGTTGGGGGGCTACTATCAGCGATTCATCAACGGATACTCCAGGATTGTTGCACCTATGACGAGGTTACAGTCGCCAAAGGTGCCATTCGTATTCGATGACGACACACGCCGGTCATTCCAAGCATTTAAGACGACCATGCTCATGGCACCCGTCCTCTGCATCTATGACCCCACTCTGCCGACGAGAGTGACTACGGACGCTTCCCGCTACGGCATTGGGGTAGTCTTGGAACAGCACGATGGCGACGACTCGCACCCTGTGGAGTATTTCAGCCACAAAGTGTCTCCCATCAAGTCGCTTGATGATGCAAGGAAGAAGGAGCTACTCGCTTTTATCATGACTCTCAAGCGATGGCGGCACTTCCTCCTTGGGCGTCGTAGGCTCACATGGGTTACGGAGAACAATCCATTGACCTACTACAAGACGCAGGATACGGTGAGCAGCACGATCGGACGATTGATGTACTTCATCGATCAGTTTGACTTCACACCGAAACATCTACCCGGCCTCTCAAATTGCGCAGCAGATGCACTCTCACGAAGACCAGATCTTTGCGCTATGACACATCATGCCTTCGCATTTGACGAGGAGCTTCAGCGACACTTCATCCGGGCATATCAGTTTGATCCGGACTTCGGCACGCTCTATGCACAGCTATCTTCGGATCACCCGCCGGCCAGCCATTACTGCATTGTCGACGGGTACTTGCTCCTCCACTCGAGAGGCAAGGACTTACTATGTGTCCCACGCAACCTTCGTCTTCGGACTCGCCTCCTCGGCAAGTATCATGATTCACGACTCGCCGGCGATTTCGGAGTGAACCGCACTATTGCACGACTTCGACAGCGATTCCGATGGCCTGACCTCATTACCGATGTCACTCAGTATTGCGACTCTTGCGAAGTTTGCCGACGCAGCAAGCCCCGCAACCGCAATCCCTACGGCGAGTTACACCCGATGCCTATTCCACGGGAACCCGGTCTCTCCATTGCCATGGACGTCACCGGTCCGTTTCCTCGCGACCGGCTCGGGCACGACGGTATCCTCACGGTTGTGGACCGATTGAGTAAGTACGCACGTTTTCTTCCTTGCAAGTACCACTCCACGGCTCCCGAGCTGGCACGCCTTCTGCACATGGGTTGGATTTGTGGCTACAGTGTACTAGAAGACATTGTCAGCGACCGCAACACTCGTTTCATGTCAGCGTTTTGGACTGCTCTCATGCAGGAGTCCGGCATAACCATGAAACCAAGTTCGGCTTGGCACCCTCAGACAGACGGGCAGACGGAGCGGGCACATCAAACCTCTCAAATGATGCTTCGTACGCTCATCCGTTCGGACCTGAAAGATTGGGTTGACCGCCTCCCCGACATCGAGTTCGCCTACAACACTTCGGTGCACCCGGCGATCGGCGTGACTCCATTCGAGTTGCACCACGGTGGACGGAAAGGCCGTATCTTCGCCGACCTTCTCCTCCCTCGACCAGCCGACATTGACGTTGCCTGCTCTCTCGCTTCCGTCCGGAAGCACAGGGAATTGCTGACTCAAGCCCGCGCAAATATGCAAAAGGCTCAAGTTCGCATGCAGCAGCAAGCCAACAGGCGTCACGTACCATGTCCCATTCGCGCCAGTGATCTGGTTTGGGTCTCCGCGGAAGAGTTTGCACTGGAACAGGATGTTTCACGCAAACTGCTTCCCACGTGGTTTGGACCCTGGTCTGTGACAGCAGCCGCGGGCGATGAGCGCGATGGCCCTTCATTTGTGATCAACATTCGAGAGCATATGACGGTCCATCCGGTCTTCCACGCCTCGAAGCTGGCAACATACACGCCAGCCGAGAGCGACGACTTTCCGGGCCGACGATCGCAGGACCCTCCTTCTATGGATGGCCATCAGGAAGTTGACCGCGTCATCTCCGATCGCAAGTACGGCAGCAAGCCGCGGCAGTACAAAGTCACATTCAAAGCATGCGATCGCGACGACACTCGGTGGATWTCAGGCGCAGATTTAAAAGCATCCGCACCGCTGATCAACGCGCATTATGAAAAGCGGAGGTTAGCTCAGGAAGCTTCACGACAAGTCCCTCCCACCCGGACTGTGGTCCCTCCCTCAGACAGACAGCTTCGCCCTCGCAGGTAAGCTCGGTTCTTCAAGGAGGGGGGGGTGTGGCATACTGCATAGCCACGCGGGCCCTGCAGGGCCCATCCCGAACATTCAGCCTAAAAGCCTAAAACTTAGGGCTTACAGGCCCCCGTCGTTTCAGCCTGAAAGCTGAAAAACGAGGGCCTGCAGGCCCTACTCCGTTTCAGCCTATTTCTGGGTCTTTTAGACCCAGAGTTTTTCCAGCCTGAAACGGAGGGCCATTTTCAGGTCCTCATTTGCTTCAACCTTCCCGAAGACTCAGGCACGAAAACTTGGTTTCAGAACAGGCTATTTCTGGCCTGTTCCCAGGCCAGCTCGAGCAGGAGCTGCAGCTGCAGCCCCTGCCTCCTTTCGGCATTGGCAAGAGCAGCCTCCTGAACTGCTCGCACGGCTCAGGAGGCACACCTGTGGTAGTACATAGGCCTTCCCAGGCACTTCACGGGTAGGTAGTTGGACATTCGGCAGGAGTAGTCTTCAGGATTCGGCCGCAGCACTCAGGAGGAGCGCTGCAGTAGTCTTCAGCGCTAGGTAGTATTAGCGCTAGCTGTAGTCTTCGGCGCTGGGCGCCCATAGCTAGAGTAGTCTTCAGCGCTGGGCGCTGTAGGTGGTAGATAGTAGAGGTGGGAGAGATACTGGCGGAGGCCAGTGATACTTACCTGTGGCGCCATCGCTCCAGCTCCATCTTCGTGGTACCTGCATCAAGGCGCCAACTTCACAGGTTAGTACTGGATACAGAGAGAGAGAGTTCTTCTTCTTCTTCCTCTAAGTCCACCATCTCTTCTCACCCTCTCACCACCTGACTTCTCAGACTACAACAGAGAGAGACAGAGTTGTGACATGAGACTTGACGACATTGGATCCAGACTCGACATTGGGATTCAGACTTTTGGACGAGGGACTATTTGGGCCTGTGCTGAACACTTGGTGTTGACGACATTCCCATCTTCCCTTCTTCTTCGTCTAACCCCACCTCCTTCGTCTGTGTATGTTCGGGGCTGGCGCAGTCTTCTTGTGTGAAGCGCCAGACCCTTTCACACCATGATGATGATGATGTATGTTCGGGGATGCATTGCACTATTGATTGTTCGGATCAGGGGTATCTAAGTCTTCCGTTGTGCTATCTTATACTTTGTATTGAAAGGTCGGTTCTTGTTCTGGTCTGCACCTATACGGTATGCAACACACACACACACACAAAAAAAAAAAAAAAAGGAGGTCA